GTGGGAGAACTTGCAAAATCGCAGGGTGTCCAAATACTTCTGTTCCTCACTGTACAGAACAGACTTATCTAAATGAGTTAAAATGTGGCTGTTTAGACCAGTTCACATCTCCAGTTGTCAGTACATGTGCCTCTGCCTCTCTCGCAATGGAAGAAGATAGACACGGCTGTGATGAATCAGCAATGTCTCACGAGAGTGATTCCAGCTGGGATGGCACAGTGCATAATTTTTCATCATAACGTATGCAGAGAGGACAAAGGAACATCCATGATTGTTTTGACATTCCTTCACACCAGCTGCCATTGCTACAGTCCATCTTACCTCAGGGAGGGATAACACAGAATTGCACTCCTTTTAGCCTTCAAGATATGAGCATGGTTAAATCTCTCAATGCCCTTCTCAATGTCTACCTGACATTGAGAAGGGCGGTGCACCGTGGATTAAGGCATTTTTAGGTGCTTGTGCAGGATTTGTGCCTGCGCTTGGAGATTTTCGTCGTGTTTTTACAGCCTGTACTTCTGAGCATGTTGTAGGAGATAGAATTAATGGCAAATACTATCGGGGATCATGATAATGTTGCTCTCCACACTGAAGTTCGCCTCTGGCCAGTGATACACCAGAAATTCCCAGTACAGGTGCGCTCTGTTGAGCTGTGCAGAATTCCACCTTAAGAGGGTGGGAGAAAGGCAGTCAGTATTTGCTCAGAGTACGTGAACTCTGGCAGAACCACACTAGTGATGACCCAGCCATCAGTGACGCCATGGGGGTGCTGTTTCGCAGTGCTGTGGAGACATCCATACAGCATCTTCTGAGACAGGTAGTGGGACACGGTACATTTACTTTTGAGCAGTGGCCAGCTTATGTCACTCAGTATATTGACAATAAGCTGGAAGCACAACAAAAGAATGCAAAGGAGCTTTCTTCCAAGCAGGCACAGTTAGTTAAAGCGCAGTTGAAGAAAATGCGAGACAAGGTCAATCAAAGTAAAAGCTACAGCTAACCAAATGTCTTTGCAGAATGCTGCACAGCTATATGCACAGAGCTTTGTCAACGAGGGTCAGTACAACACTGGATTTACTTCCAGACTGAAGCTGTGACTGAAGAGTGGATCTATCCCAACTGTCTGCGAGTCCACTTCACACCCTGCTGCTGTAAGTGTTGCTATTTTACTGCTTGTGTATGAAGTTAACCTGATTAACTTAGCCACAACGTAATGCTGTGCAACCAACATGGCTAACAGTAGCTTGAATTTTACCAGAGAGTTTGTGTGAAACTTTTTAAATCAAATATCCTGTGAGCAGCGGGTTGGATGGTGGTAATTTTCTTGTTTACCTAGCATCGTTGTAACAGCACTAAACTTAGTGTAAACATACTACTGGTGTTCCTCTATTAGACAACACTGCCCAGGTGTGACAGCAGCAGGCCCCTGCTGTAGTTTAGTTTAGAAGCGGTTGTTATGGTGAAATGCAGTTAATGGTAGCTGCTGATGTTAGCAAAGCTGACGCTGAAGACCGGAGCCATGCAGAATCCGGAAACAGCTTGGTGTTGGTAGGCAGCTTCCGTTCAGAGTTGTGGGAGCTGACCAATCAGAGCAGACTGAGTTTTTAGGGAGTGGGGGGCCAGGAGCTAAAACAGAGCGTGTTCACACGGGGGTCGGGGGGTAAGGTTCTGGCGTTACTGGCACTTTGCGGAAACTAATGAACATACAAGGGTGTAAACCTTTTCTAGTAGAACCTTTATAATCACAATATGAACCTGATAATGAGCAGAATTTGTGACCTTCAACCTTCACTGTACCAGGAGAGCCTTACTGAGATTAAAATAAATAAATTTCTTTGCCAGAGTGTCCTGGACAAGACTGACAGTAACACCTTTAAGTAAACATAAATACAATTAACAATTATATTTCTTCATAAACTGTAGCACTGAAAGAACAGTTTTGTTCCATTTTACACCGAACACTGCACATGGAGGGAATGACGGATTTAGCTTTGCATCAGTTTGCTGACCGTCTCGAGCAGGAGAGAAGATGTCCAGACTGTTTCGTCCAACACTGCTGAACTTCTCCACAGCAGAATACTGCTCTGTTCCTTGCTGACCTTCAGCCTCCCGGGACATCCCCTCTGCACCGGTGCTCCCTGCAGTTCAAAGTGTTTATTTTGTCATATGCACAGTTAGGAAACATGTTTCCTTGTACAATGAAATTCTTACTTTGCCGTCCACATGAATGCCACAAAATACAAATGAAATATAAAGTAGATAAGTAACACAAAATCTAAGGCACTTTAAGCAACAAATGCAGCGATATAATAATAAAAAAAAATGTATAAGAATATACCAGAGAAAGTATGCTGCATGGGAGCAGCATGTGCAGCAGTCATTGTGCAATTATGCATGTACAACCTCAGAATGTAAACAGTACATCACATATTTCCTGGTAAACTCCTCAGCTGTTTAAGGAGTCTGATAGCAGAGGGAAAGGGAGTTTTTCAGTCTAGTGGTCCTGCAGGACACAACATCGTCAGCAAGACATGAATGAGGTAGAAAACAAACTGACAGACCCATGAGGAGATTGATATGAAAAGCCATTTCTGTGCCTAAACTGCCGACACAAAGTCCTGAGTGTAAAATGCTGATGTAAAGGAAAGCCGCTGTTGGCTCAGAGCACCGGGTGGTTTTCCTCTGAAGCTGCAGGAATAAAGTCCAGTTCTAAGGTCCATCAGAAAATGTCTGTATTTAAGCGTTTGACAGTGTGGGAACACAGCCCCTGTTCCGATGCTACGTGTGCATCCTGGAATGTTTGTAAACTGGAAACCAGGCTATTTATCTGTCTGGATCCAAGTCATAATGTGGATAATCCTACAGTGTAGAAAGTCACTTTCTGCTTTTCCCGTTTAGGGGTCGCCACAGCGAATTGTCACATTGACGACTCGCATGTTGACATTTGGCACGCGTTTTACACCGGATTCCCTTCCTGACGCAACCCTGATTCAAACCCGGGCTGCAGAAGCAAGAGCGCTGCGCCTTAACCACTAGCCTACCAGGGACAGCTTTGGGTAATCCTACAGTGTACCATGATTTAATGCAGTGTAATGCGATACTGACCTGTACCTGTCACCTGCCTGGGGGGGGTCGGGTCTGTGCTGGGGGTCGGGTCTTGCTGGCTGCTGGACTGTTTGGCTGAGGATCTTTTAGTACTGGCAGTCTTAGTGGAGCCCAGTTTACTGGACTGATGTGGAAGACAGGGAAACACAGTTAAACTGTTAGTCTTTGCCAGTAAACGGCATTTACACAGTCTAACTTGGATTTAGTAAAGTCCAACAGAAAACCCTGGTGACAATCTCCTGAAAGGTTATATCCGATTAGGACTGTATCAAGCATGTTAATTGATCAGTCAAGTCAAATGAAGAAGCTGGTTAGAAACAGATGTGAAGTCTGAGCCTTGACACACATGGACCAACATCTACTGCTGTCCAGTGTCACCGCCATAAACACACAAAACCCTCAGTAAAACGTTTCTGCAGTTAAAATGTCTGGAGCAAAACAAGGATCATTATTGCAAGAAGACGTTTGCCCATTTGGTCCCAGTGGATTAACAAGGTAGAAATTAAGACATTTATGGTTCATCTATGACTCGTCTACCTGAATGTTCAGACTGGGAGGACTGTATTTGGTCTGTTGGTACCTTGTGTCTGCTGCTGCCGCTTTGGAAGCGCAGGCAGCTGACTGAGGTTTTATGGGCCACAGTGATCCTGGTGGGAGCACTGGTCTTCCTCAGGTCATACTGGTAGATCTTCCCCTGAGTGGATCCGACCACCAGACCAGTACCATCCAGTGTAAAGTCCACTGCAGTCAGAGGACTGTCCACCTGGATCGATCTCAGGACACTGCGCGTGTACACACACACACACACACACACACACACACACACACACATTAACATCTTGTGCACCTGACATACTCCATGTACCTACAAGCTGACTCTTGTCCGACTGATTGAATTCTGGGACCGTCTTACATCTTGCTGGCTGTGTCGTAGCAGACGATCTTCTTGTCCAAACCGACGCTGACCACCAGCAGCTCACTGGCAGGGGAGAAGGTGAGGCCGGAGCCTGGGGCCTTGTGGGCACTATTGAAAACATGGAGTTCCTTCTGGGTGTTGGAATCCCACAGGACCACAGTGCCACTGTCAGAAACAGTGCCCAGCAGGGAGCGCTTCAGCATGGACAGCCTTAGGTCGTGGATGGGCTGACGGTAAAACAGTTCTGTTAGTCTTCATGGAAAAGTTTGTTTTTTTTTCTCCCCTGGCTTTACTGTCACAAGGTCTTTTAGCACATGATTTAAAAACAGGACACTTTCTCTTTGATGTTCTCAAAAATGTTTAAGAAACATCTGCTTGTGATTCATTCGAGGACATTTGTTCCAATTTAGATGCCTGAGCACAGGTTCTACCTAGTTACAGTATAAAACGTATGAAAGAACAAATGACTGAAACAGTGTTGTGACTGTCTGACCTGGTTGCTGCCATGACCGAAGGCTTTACTGGACAGGTTGGTGGTCAGACTGTAGACAACCAGGTCTCCACTGGTGGAACCAGAGGCGATGCAGCTGTCATTGGCATTGAAGGACACACAGGTCACCTCTTCTCTGTGATCCTGACAGACAGAGGAGACTGGTAACTGTGGCAGCATTCCCCTCTGGTCTGAACACTTTCTGCAACCACAGTATTTCAGTACCTAACTGGTGTATGTGAGGTCTCACCTTGAGGGAGCGGTGCAACCTCTTGGTCTTCAGGTCCCAGATGTGGACACTATGATCTAGACCTCCACTGACCAAAAACTGAGATGTCGAGTTCAGACACACGCGGGTCTGTTTTTTCTGAAAGGACAGTTAAAAGGATTAGGAAGATTAGCTAGGATAAAAATACAAAAATGTTCTTGCATGAGGTCCACTGTACAACCATAAAATCCACAGCTATGCACTCACCCCCTCGGCCAGTTCCACCATTGGAACAGGAGTTGACTTGAGGCTGGAAACCACCAGTTTGTCTCCACTGCTGCTGGCACTGACCAGGTATTGGTCTAAATGATCTGGTTAAGGTTGGTTCATCCTTGTGCCAAAGTTCAGTGGTCAACTCGCACCAATTTACCGCAAAGACTACTGAAAGGAAATCAACAAAATATACTTTGCCCACAGATGACCAGACTTTAGCATAAAACGGTAAATGATAAGTTGCTTCTTAAGACAGAATGCCAAGCAGGCTTCCCACAAGGAGAATTAGCTGCTTTTCTTGGTTGTACATACAGTGGGGCAAAAAAGTATTTAGTCAGCCACCAATTTGCAAGTTCTCCCACTTAAAAAGATGAGAGAGGCCTGTAATTTACATCATAGGTATACTTCAACTATGAGAGACAGAATGAGAAAAAAAATAAAAATCCACAAAATCACATTGTCTGATTTTTAAAGAATTTATTTGCAAATTATGGTGGTCCGTGTTGCCCAGCGACAGGCCCAAAACATCACTGCTCTAGAGGAGATCTGCGTGGAGGAATGGGCCAAAATACCAGCAACAGTATGTGAAAACCTTGTGAAGACTTACAGAAAACGTTTGACCTCTGTCATTTCCAACAAAGGGTATATAACAAAGTATTGAGATGAACTGTTGGTATTGACCAAATACTTATTTTCCACCATATTTGCAAATAAATTCTTTAAAAATCCGACAATGTGATTTTCTGGATTTTTTTTCTCCTTCTGTCTCTCATAGTTGAAGTATACCTATGATGTAAATTACAGGCCTCTCTCATCTTTTTAAGTGGGAGAACTTGCACAATTGGTGGCTGACTAAATACTTTTTTGCCCCACTGTAATATTAATGTTCTGGACTGTGACTCAAACAAATCAAGAAATTTGGCGATATCACCACGATCTTTAGAAGGTTTCTGCCATTTTCTGACATGGACCAGATTATTTAAAAATAAAAATGGTTGGTTTGTTGCAGCCCTAGATATAGATGAATATTTAAACATATATGACTTACATGCTGTGTGTATAAATCAACCTTCTGTTTGATTACAAATTCATACTATTCAGTATTTCAGGGTTATGTCACTGCATATTGTCATTGAACTGACAGAAACACATGCACTGTTAATCAGCTTGTCAGGATACTGTTGGAGCTCCAGCAGGCCTGGGCGACAGGGTGGCTAATGCTGTGTGGGTTAAACTGCTCCAGTGGCGCCATGGAAACCACATCCCAGATCTTCACACAGTCTCCTGTCGACACCAGGCGGGTCACCTCCTCCATGGCAACACCTGGAGATAAACACATGGTTGTAGCTACTCAAATGTGAAGTGAGATCCTTGTCTTTGTCATACATGATGGTAAAATTAATATGTTTGGGTGAATGTTTATGAATATATCGCCTTGAGCTGTAACAGGTATTTCTCACAATTTTGACATTCTATAGATAAAATGATTCATCAAGAAAATAAATCAGCAGATTCATAAAAGTAAAAGCCTGACATTTTGGGTGCTTTTGTTTTTCTTTTTTTAGTTTCAGAAAGCTTTTTGCACTGAGAGAAACTGAAAGAAATGGGATACAAAGGCAACAGGTGGAGAAGGTTGCACTGCAGTGAGTAATAAACCATTAGGAACTGAGAGTGGCAGATCATGGACATAAACCTAAAACTTGTAAAGACATTGTAATGCCACATACAGTGTCATTTAATAAGCATTTCATAATTATACTGACCAAAGTGTGATAGAAGTGAAAACCAGCTGGGACGATTTGACCTAAAATTACTGGTATTTATCATTTTTCAGCACCCCTGGCTATATATATGTATATATATATATATATAACGGTTATTCCCCGTGATGAAAGAAGGAAACAAAGTTACCGATCCAAAATCCTAAGTACCAAAGTAACATCAGATAAACAAATCCCTGCAAAGTGTCTCCTGTCTTAAGGCCCACATAACCTTTACAAAACAATGGAACAATGGTGTGGTTAGGTTTTACACACGGTTTTGTGCTAAAATATCGAACAGAAACATTTATGTAGTATTTGTGTCTACGGTAAGATAGCCAAGATCTGTGTAAATAAAAAGAAAGACTTTAATACTTAACATCTGGCTTACTTTTCAATGAGGCATGTTTTGAAATCAAAGTGTTTGATTTCACTGTGTGTATGCTGTCAGCGACTGGACAAACCTTTAAAATACTAACAATTTACTATTTTACCCAATTAGTTAATTTAATCGTATTTCCTGTAAAATACTAACAGTAACACTCGATGAACAGATGCGAGTTTAATTTGCAAGCCGAGAGTTAAGGTAAACTAGCAGCTAAACTAAAAAAAAACTTAGAAAAATCAGCTGGACTAGGTTTTGGGGTCTATGACCTGGAAGACTGAGAATCTGCACGGACATGTAGCAGCTAAAGTTAGTTAACGATAGCTAACAGTTAACGCTAACGCTAGCTACAAAAAACAACATCAGCTTTAGAAGGAAATAAAGTTATAAACAGATACAAAAGACAATTTAAACAGCATGAAACACGCATTAACCTGCCAGAGACCAATCAGATGTTTAAACATTTTCCGTAAAACGTGTCCTGCATGTATACTTACCCTGAAAAATGAATCGGAACGCTAATTGACAAGTTACTACAAATATTTCTTCTGCCTTGAGCCGTTTGCAGCTTATCTACCGCCACAACGGAAACCTGGACGGACAAAAAGGCCAAGTAATGAAGTACACTTACTCAAGTACTGCACTTATACAAACGTGATGTAGTTGTATTTTATTTGAGTGTTATGTTTTTATACAACGTATATCACATTTTATACCCCCTATATCAGGCTATATCAGGAAACTCTTCACACTACCGTAGGAATCAACTGTAAATGCTGCAGTCACGGCACTTCGCCTGAAGAGGGCAGCGTTACGTCTTCACTGCGTCTCATCTACCAGAACAGAAGAAGAGGAGGGAGGAAATATCCCGCCTCATCCGCTGTTCTTTTTTAAAACCAAGGCGGGACGGTTTATTTCACCCACTTGGTTTGGTCGGTGTGGTTTTTGTAAATACGCGACCAAAATGGTGCGAACTAAAGCAGACAGTGTTCCCGGATCATACAGAAAAGGTACAGTAACAATCTAAAGACATTTGTTACAAATTCAGCAACAAGTAGCTAATCGCATGTAAGAATACAGCTGTTTTGTTATGTGGGCTGGGGGCGCACATATAATTGCTTTCCTCGGGCAATTTTAGACACTACTGTATCTCACTTTCGTTTAAATAACTAAAATATCAGCATGTTGATATATTTGGCACCTGTGAATGATTTAAATCAGTCAACAGCCACAACCTCCCGCCAATAGGAAGCCTGGGTGTCAACCGCTCTCGGTCTCTGTTGAGCGCTGGAAGAGCTTTCCTTAAAAACGGATTAAATTTGTACTATCATCAAAAAGTGTTAGCTGTAGTTTTAATCTCGCATTCCGACTGACAAGTGGCATCTTATTTAGTTTTTATAAAGACTAGTGTTTTGCTTTCTACAGGCTGGCGCCAGTTTGTCGCGCCGCGGTTCGGCTTATTCGGGCGACGCACCAAACCCTGTTAAAGTCCCTACACTAACAGTGTAATTTAGCTTCTCATCGAAGACATATGAGACGGAAGGGAGTTTTTCCTCCCCACTGTCGCCAAGTGCTTGCTCAAGGGGGGTTTGTTGGGTTTTCCCTCTGTAATAAGTGATAGCAGTGAGGTCTAGACCTTACTTTGTAAAGTTTTCTGAGATTACTTTTGTTGTGATTTGGCGCTATATAAATAAAATTTGAATTGATTCGAGAACGTAATGAGTAATATTTTATTAACGCACGTTATCTTCTGTTCAATTCGGCGTATAACTGACCGTCTTTCCTTTTTTTTTATTTGATATTTTATTACACATTAAGTTTTGACCATGTTTGATTCTATCTGCAGCGGTTGCAGCTTCTGCTCCCCGGAAGTCTCTGGGCTCTAGTTCAGCCAACTCCTCTTCCTGCAGCAGCCAATCCTCCACACCTGGTGAGCTACTACAACACTCACTACATTCGCTGTTCATCATGTGATACAACTGATGTTTTCTACTTCACAGCAAAGAACAAATATGGTGGTGGGAACCCAGTCTGTCCCCGTCCCACTCCGACCTGGCAGAAGGGCATCGGGGATTTCTTTGGTGGTCCCCCCAGGAAGCCAGAGAAGGAGAACCAGAGACCAAGGGAGGCTGAGGATGATGAAGAGGCTGGGAGCAGTGGGATGTCAAAGCCCAGCAGAAAGTACGTTGTCCTTCTGCATCAAGTGTTACACCACACTGATTGCCATTGTACCACTTATGCATTGCAGCTGCAGGTTTTTCCCTCTCTCTTGAAAGTTGAAACACATTTACAGGGTTCCAATGCATCCTGGAAATCTGGCATTTTTAAAAAACAGTTTTACAGTCCGGAAATTGAGAAACTGTACAATGTGCTGAACAAACACTTTGTCATCTTGGAAAATCTTCACATTTTTAATGTTATATAAACTGTCAGATTTCAGTATGAGCTGGCAGCTGATATTAGGGCAGTGTGTGAGATCAACTTGGAAAGGCAAGGGTCGACGTTAATGGCCCGTTTCTGTCCACTCTGAATGCCCTCAGCCGTAGGCTTGTAAATGCACCAGGTCGGTGAAGATGGTGTTAATAAAATAAACATGAATGACATCGTTGTTCAAAGACAGGTGGCCAGCTGGCTGACTTTCTAACACAATACGATCTGTAATAGAGCTGGACAGTCAAGAGCCTTTTTGGCAGGATATTGGAGGTTTGAGGATCACTGCTTCTTTTGAAGATATAATAAGTCAAATCTTAACTCGGGAACATGAAGCCTATCCTCTGTGGGCACCTCCCAAGGATTTTGTTATCTGCAGCGTCTGATACAGTAAACTTGCACACATCCATTTTGAAATTGTAGGGGAAAGACAGAACTCATCTTGAGTGTCGCTGTTTATTATTGCTTACTTTTGTTGTTAGTCAAGTCAGACTTTTATTGCACATATGACTAAAGCTGTTAACATCAGATTTGGTCCCAGACTGTAGCAGCTTCTACATGTTTTACAAACCAGCAGGTGTCCACTTTTGCTTAGTTTGAAGCCCTAAAGTGTCCTCTGCTCCTCACTAGTGTTCATCACTTTCTGCTTTGTAACCCAATTCCTGTTTTTTGTGCAATTTGCAGCATTTTCTAAGTTGCAAGATGCAAAGTGTTAAACCTGCTGTAGTGAGAGTTAAGTCTTATAAGAGGTTTTCTGCAATATTTTTGCCTGTTTGTCAAGTTCAAGTAGAAGATGGTGTTTAAGCTGAGTGAGTGTGGGTGTTGAAAAGTAGGCTTTGTTGTCATCATATGAGCATTAATGTCCAGCCTGTTGACTATGAACAAAGATCTTATGCAACTTGTAACTGGAGCTGGACAATAAATAACAATTGGTACCTGAGTAAGGCTTTATGCCTCCTAACCACAGCTGTACTGATGTGTGCAGGTGTGTTCTTTAAAATCATGCCAACAGAATAATCAAGTTCCTGGCATTTAAAGCAACACATCTTGTGAAACCATGTTCTGTCGCCTGCAGGTCCAGACCGTTGCCTGCTGAGGATGAGGATGATGACAACTGAATTTGTTTGACTCTTGGTCTTATTTGCTGCCTTTATATTCTCAGTGGTATTTTAATGTAAACTGTATATAATTTCTGTTGAATTCACTTTGTATAGTTCATTAAACATTTTTAAAAAACGTTTTCAACCTGCAGAGTTCTGTCATGTCTCCTTAGATTACACAGTGGGGATGGTGTCAAGATTCTCATTGTTCCTTTATTTAGTTTACACAACACAGATGAGAGCAGAGAGGTTACAACAGACTGAGGCCTGGCCACAGATGGACAGCGATACGCCCAGAGGCTGAGCACTGGTGCTGTTGCCCACAATATAGCAGGTGTTCACTGGTTCTTTTGGGGCAGAAAACCTAAATTCTGATGTGTAGCGTTGGTGTTGATATTAAAAGCAGGGTTTATCTGGGGTTGTGGAAGCCTGAATAAAGAGAGAGCCAGACTCCAGTGTCTTTCCTTGGCAGAATCCCTTGAGCCCACTAGCTTGCAACAGTACGTTTTGAAGACTCGGTGTAAAATAACGAATATGTTATAGATTATGCTATTCAGCAGGTAGTACATAAAGCATTTAAAATTAGATCCACCTTTATACCTGTAGCCTTAAAAGTGATGAATGCACAATACAATAATACATTATTCTGATATCGGCCATTCTGCACATGAATCGCTTTTTCTTTTTGTACTTTAAGCCATTACTATATTTTAGCAGTAATAGCTTTTGAATGTAGGGCTTTGTGAGTGTATTTCTGTAATTCCTGTTTGTACTTTTCCTAAGGTCGGAGTACTTTCACCAGTCTGACCACGAGCTAGTTGTAGTTTTACTGTTAAGTCAATTTGTATGATTTAACCTTTATTTTAAAGGCTAATCAGAGGCAGGGGCTGCAAATCAGCTTCAGCTCTGCGGCCTGTGTGTATTACATCACTACGTATGTGTGCATAACGTTTATCTTTGCAGCTACCCCTCCACGTTTGACTCCCTGTTGGCCAAGACTCCGCCCTGCTAGAATGTCCCCGCACTAAAATCAATTTGGCCCCATGTTGTATCAGTTCAATCTTATCAACGTTAATACAGCGGCGCTGTATTAACGGGTTACTTTAACCGATGCTGCTTCTAAAACCCCTTCAGGATATTTAACGCTCATTTATTTTAACTATCATTTTAACTGAAGTACTTCAGATATATGCGAGTTATTGCTCAACCATTGTAGTGTCGTTTAGCTAACCGCCCCGTCAGGAGGTCCACAGGCACATGTCAAACACATCGGTTCTCAGCCTACGGCAGCCCGCACGGTCGAGCCTACAAGGAAACAAACAAAAATAAGCAACGCCGTGCGCAAATAGCATTTCTCTCTATACAAACATTGTTTTTACATTTAACTTATAGGCAGACATCAAGTTAAACCGAGCAGCATCCGTTAGGTTTACTTTCCAACTGCTAACTTGTGGCTAATCGTGCTCCTTGTGTGTCTACCATCAGAAGTGATCCATCCAGTTGTTGTGGTCGGTAACAGTTAAACTCCCTTGGTGTGTAGCTACAGAATTAGCTACGTTATACGTAGTTAGCCGTCAGAACTGGAGATGTCGGGCAGCAGCGGCGGGTTCAGCTGGACGGTAGTGGTCCTGACCTGTCAACACAAGGACAGCGTCTACTCCTTCCAGAGGGGTGAGGATCATCTGCCTATTTTACGATCTCTGTCCGCTGCAGTGGCACTGTTCGGCCTGACGGTGGGGCTGATTGACAGAGATGATTCATTCGAACTTTATTGGCGCTGTAGTGATCATTCAATTAATCAGATAATCAACAGAAAAGTGCTTGTCAACTGTTCTGATAATTGAGGGGTTTTTTAAATATATTTTTTCATTTAAAAAGACGAAACAATTATTTGTCATATGTGAGGATATGATGCTTTTCTTTGTTGTAGGCCTCTATCTTTGGGTTTTGGACTGTTGGGTATACCAAAGTATTAACTGATTTATGCAGAAAATAAATTGTACTAAAATAATCGTTGAAGTGCCTTAAATGTCCGTTTGAAATGAAGAAACAAAACCTAACTTTAATTATTTTGACAGTGTACAGTTCACCTAATAATTGTTTTTTGGCAAATATGTCCCCAGTTCCGTATGCCTATTAAAACAAACATCAATTCCTTTTTTGCAGATTAGACATTACCACTCTTCTCTTCTTGTGTGTGTATGTGTGTGTGTCAGAGCTGGAGTTGCGGCAGCAGCGTGGTTCTCTCTCTCCGGTCACGTTGGTTTTGACGGTGCCGGACCGCCAGGAGCCACTGGGCAGCGGGGGGGCGACGCTGAACGCTCTGCTGGTCGCTGCTGAACACCTGAGCAACAGAGCTGGACACACTGTACGTTACACTGGAAACACACTGCTCTGACTGGGCTGCACTGGTCAAACTGGTGTACATGCTAGTAATGTTTAGACACAGTTTAGACTGGCCAGATGTTACTGGTTAGTCAGTTAACTAGGAACGGTCAATCTGGTCGGTTGCTGATAAAATAAAAATGGCTTCCAATAGTAAAAGTCCTGCATTCAGAATCCCACTTAGGTAATAGTCAGAAGTATTAGTAACAAAATGTACTCAAAGTACCAAAGGTAAGGGGCTCCTGTGGCCAATAAATGATTGTTAGATTATTGATCCTGAGTTGTCAAAGCTTCTGCAGCTTTTTCTGTTGGATTCTTTAAAGTTAAAAAATAATCAGCAAAATAACAGGTGACTCCAGCTTCCACAGAAACATACAGCATAAAATAACAACTCAGTAAAATGTAAAAGGAACTTGATGCCACATCTTCAGTTTTGCCTTTTAGGTTTGAAGTGTTTTCAGAAAGCTGCACTTTACCAGCTTGTAGGTCCAGTTGTATTTTGAATTCTTAATCCTCAAATTACTTTGTAACCACAGCTGTCAGAGAACTGGAGTAAAAAGTGCAGTGTTTTCCCTGTGGAGTGTAGTGAAGTATAAAATAGCAGAAAATGGAAAGTACCTCAGATTTGTACTTAAATGCAGCACCTAGTTCTTCTTACTACTCAGTACCAGTTGTAGATGACTTGTCCAGATCACTGAGACATGAATCGGTCAATAAAATGACAATCTAATGTGTAACATCCTGATACTTGTGACACTGGTGTGTTTTGGCCGGAGCAGCTGTACTTCCTGTGCTGTGCTTCTCAGGTGGTGACGGCTGATGTCCTGGACGATGCTCACATCCTCATCCTGCACACAGTGAGTCCTGCAGCGTGTGTGTTGGCCTTTGGTCTGGTGTTTCTCACTGCTCACAGCTGCTTTTCTTCTGCAGGGGCGAGATTTTCCCTGGAGCTCCTGCAGCCGTGCATTCTGCTGGCTGCCTCAGGAGGAGCCCGACCAGAGGGTCCAGGCTCCGGTCTGCTGTCTGGACCTGCTGCTGGACCGCCTCAGGAACCAGGTCTGCTCAGTCTGTGTCTGCTGGTCGGTTCTACACAGAGAGCGTCATAGTGATAAACTCAAACTTCTTACATTATAAAATAGTGACAGTGTACACACACACACACACACACACACACACACACACACAGACACAGATGTGGTTAAAAGTGTTGGTACCTTCTGCTTAAAGAGGAAAAGGGTTTCAGGTTTCTCTGAAATAAGTACAAACTGGATCCACTCTTCTCTGTTCCACGTTTAATAACACAGGCACGTTGCATTTGATTTTCTATACTGCTTCAGAGCTTTCCAGGATGAACAGAGCCAAGCTTTGTTCTGGTCAGGTATGAGGGTCCCGACACTTTTGGCCATGTCCATGAATTGTATAGACTACTGCTTGGAAACACTAGATGAGTATAACTGCATTGCTTTGTTGAACCACAGGTTGGATGTTTAGTTTCCTACAGACCATTTAGAAACGGTCGGTCTTGTCTTTGTGGCCCAGGTTTGTCCTGGTTCTCCTCCCGGTGTCTGGGTCTGCAGCACCGACACGATCTTCACCATACCTCGAGACTTTGGTTAGTGTGCTCCCACTTTTTACTGCCTACAGTAGTACAGCTACAGTACTCTAACTGTTAGAATACTACAAACAGTTCAGTATGCACTCAGTATCTACTCTCCCCCATTTTCAGTCTAGTAGTCTTAATCCTTTGTTAATTAGTCCACCAGTAACTGTAACAGTAATCCTGTTATGTTGACTCTCCAGCCATGGTTGAAATCAGTGACAGTAAAAACGCAGCTGAACTTAGTTTTGAAGCGCTGGCCCCTCGCAAGACACTGAGTGGTTACTAAGAAACAGTGCTTCTGACTTCACACTTTTCTTTCTGCTCTACCGGTTTCCTCTGCTGAGTGATTTTCCTGAATGGTGATGGGATCCTCATAGTTCTGCTGATCCATAGCGATTGCACTGCAGCTGTTTATTGATATGAACTAAGCATGAGACGGACAGTTGGTGTCAGCTTCAGAACAAACCTGATTTCACACATTTATTTAACACTTATTTTAATTGGACCAGCTACGGAGGGAGAACGGACCAGTGTCACACCCCACAACATTTATACAACCACAGCACACTCCAAGCGCTTTCACATTATTCGGCCATCCACCCATTCGCACTCACGCATTCACACACCGGTGACATCACCGGGAGCAACTGGGGTTCAGTGTCTTGCTCAAGGACACTTTGACATGTTGACTGGACAAGCCGGGAATCGAACTGCTAATCCTCCGGTTAGGAAACGACCCGCTCCTCCGGCTCCATAGAAAGGCGCTATACAGGTATAAGACCATTTACCACCCTCCGCCAATCAAATGCAAACAACGCCCCCAGCAGTGGAAGTCATGAAGTGACAGTTGGAGGCAGCAGGATGAACGAACTGTCAGAGCCATGAGCCTGTTTGATGCACATGAATAAACGTGCACCATTATGTGTTTATGTCCCTGTTTGTATGTGTGTTAGCTTTGTCGTGGGACGGCTTCTCCGGTGTTCGGGTTTTAGCCTTACCAGGTGACGTCTCCTACGCTGCCAATCACGGAGTCTACCTGTCCGACCCACAGGTGCCCATGTCATTCAGGCTAATGTCATTTCTTTTTCTACATGTCTTTATGTTGTTCATTGATTGTAAGTGTTGTTTATCACAGTAGGATTAATGAACATCCTTTGTAGCGTTAAATTGAGTCCAGTGAGGGACTGAAGGTGTGTTTGTTTTGTTTACAGGGTCAGGTCAGGGACATCATCTACAGAGGAACAAAGGAGCAGATTCAACAAGCTGTGATGCCTGATGGAAAAGTGCCTCTGGTATGTCGTCTTTCCTGCACTGAGCAGTAAAATCAAACGCACCGCTGATACCCAGTTCGAACATTAAAGGCAGATACTGGTGTTTTGGGCAGAAGCTGCTGGTGCGGTGTAATTTTAGAGCGATGTGTTTTCTAAAAGGGTCAGGGAACATGTTTCTGGAAACGCCTCCTCGCCTTGATTCGGGGCATGGCGTCACCCTCACCAGATCCAGGTCAACCTCTCTTCATGACTAACCAGTAAAATATTATTACCAAAACAGGCCCAGCTGCAGCCATAATTATTCCAATGTAAAACACCAACAGCTTCTTGTTTTACTTTAGAATAATAATCTTGTTGGTGGAAAGACAAACTCTGAACCTGCAGTAAGAAGCAAAAAAAAAAGGCTTTCTGGAAACCTAGACTTTATATTTGATGTTATATTTAATGTTCTGAGATGATATTCTCAGCTTGACGTCTCCTGTTTGTCTGTAGGTGTCAGGCCCGGTCTTCTTCAGCAGGTCTGTGTCAGAGAAGCTGTTGCAGACTCACGTCACTCCTCCTCTGGATGGCTGCACCTACCTGGGCCTGGACTCTGGAGCTCCACCCCTCCAGGTGCCTGTCTGTTTATGATGCATCAGATGCTTTAGAAGAGCAATGTGGAATTTTTTAAACTTGATTCCAGTATCTAAACTATGCACTGCTTGGTACTGATCATATGATGTAGAACAATACAGAGAGCTACTTCTGTATTTTTGCACATTGTAGCCCATTTATTGTCCAAACCGTGTGCTCTCACCGTTACTGCACAGTGCACACCGAGACGATTTAATGCCTTTTCATTCAGTAGTTTCTTCAGTAAATGTTTATATATGATCCCAGAGCAAGATGTTATTCATAAACCAAATACAACTGAATTTCTGTTTATATATTTCACAAAGAAGAAACAAAAATAAAAAGAGGAGAAACAGAGTCAGTCCCAGTTTCTTAACAGCTGGTAAGTCAACTCACAAAGCTGTTATTTCATTTATATCTTCTAATGCTTCTTCCTCTGAACTGAAAAACATTTTAATGGCCCTTTAAATAAATCTCCTGAGGAATCCACACAGACTCCACATACAGAAATACACATGGGTTTTAAAGGAGTCTGATGATTAAAGGATGCAGCCAATGATTCTGGTTCTTTGTGCTATTCCCCACAAAGAGACCAGCAGCACCAGTGAACGTGGTGTCCTCCCTGGTTCAGCTTATTGCTCTGTGCCATAGACCTCCACTGTTATCCACCAGTTATTAGACCCCCAGGTTTCCTCCTCAGCAAACACAGGAGGCCGTCTGTTTCCAGCAAACAGCTCCAACACGTCGCTCTGTGCAGACTCTGGTGGAGCAGCGTGACCAGAGCAGAGATCAGCGGCTCTGTCTCGCTGCAGACGTGACGCTGCTCTCAACCTGTGGAGCTGTTTTTGCTCATTTTCTGTTGGACTGCTGTTCTGAAATAAACCTGTATTCTCAGTTCATCTGTCTTGCTGTCGTTCCTCAGATCTCTCTCTTTCTGGACCTGCTGAAGTGTCTCTGCTCAGATCTGACTCAGGATCAGTTTGTGAGTGAGGAGAGAGCCGGCTGCAGTTCAGCTAATGGACCACAGGGGACAACAGTGAGGAGTGGCAGGACAGAGCTGTGGAGGATCCTCAGGGGGACTCCACTCAGGCTGGGTGGGTGTCTCCTGCTTCTGCTTTGGCTGTGTCCATATCCCAGGCCTCAGTGTTCAGCTCTGACCTTGTTGTGTTGCTGCTTCCCGTCCATGTGTGTCAGCACAATGTACCCAGCTCCGGTGTGAACACCACTGAGCTCCTAAACTGCCACACATGCACAGGTGTAACTGAAATGTGAGCCACGTGCACACGAGAATAACAACCAGGTAGTGTGTGTGAGACGTTCAAACTGCCCTGTTTCCTCCCAGACCGCTGGGTTATGATCTGTTCTGTCCAGTTTGGCCTGATCAGAAGCTTCTCCATAAACATTCACCACACGTGAAACGTCCTGGCCTGCTGGGTCTCATGTCGGACGGAGCTGACAGGCTGGGTCCATTAGTTTCATAATTGTACCAGTAACATAAGAGAAAAGGCCTGAATTATTCCAAAATGTCCTGTTGTCTTTCCTCCTCAGTGTATGTCCCCGGGGGTCACTACGACTATCTGAGCCTGTCTGGACAGCAGCATGTCCACCGCCTGACATGTGACTGGACACGCACAGACACTCTCTCTCACATCCAGGTGACACTTGGTTTCTCAGGCTTGACCTTTAAAATGTCCTCAGTCAGGTCCCCAGCAAACACAGAATCCCCATGAGCTGCTGTGTTCACTGCAGCCGCCATGGAGGAGCTCTGGGCAGCTGAAGCCTGAAGCAGTGAATTCTGGGGGAAAAAAATGCAGACTTGGGTAATTACAATAAATACTACATTTAAAAGGTTAAGTAAAACTGTGTCCAGCCTCACAGCTCTGGCTTTGATTACATTTGTAGTGAAATATTTTTATTTTTCACCTTTACATTTTCATTTGGTTGTCAAACCTTATTATAACAATAAATAACAAATGATGGTGATGTTTTAAAACAGTAAAATAAAATAATCACAAAATCAGTGAAATCTTATGTGTTACTTGGTTTTGTCAGTTTTTTGATTTTAACATCCAAAACAGCAGAAGCTCTGGTGTTCTACACTGTCTGAGCCCTGCTGCAGTACGGCGGCAGACGCAGCTGGATGAGGCCGCTACATGTTTGTGTCTCATCTCTCTCACTAACACATCTGGCTTCCTGTCCCCACTCAGAGAGAGAGTATGGTGAGTGAAGGCGGTCGAGTGATCAACAGTGTTCTGGAGGGAGACGTCACCGTGGCGCCTGGAGCGGTGGTGCAGCACTGCCACCTACAGGTCAGGAGGTTAACATATGGTTTAGCCAGTCACTGCAGCTTAAAGGCATGTGTCTCAGCCCTGCTGTGATCTCTGACCTCTGCAGGGTCCTCTGGAAGTCCTGTCAGGCTGTTTACTGTCTGGTCTGGAGTTACCAGCATCATCATGTATCAGACAGCTGAAACTGGCCAATAACATCATCGTCCAGGGACATCGGATCGAGCTGGGGGAGTTAAAGCTGAATGTTTACACGGTGATGGGAGCAGACGACGACCTGGAGGTGAAAAACACAAGACATGAAAACAGTTAATTCATTTACCAATAGAAAGTTCATGAAAAACAGTTCTGGTGTTGGAGGCGTAATAAAACAATCTCCTATACAGAGGACAGAAATCTGGTGTCGTCTGTGGCATGAAGCATGGATTTAACAAAATGAAAGACCTTTAATATATGTAGAGCACTTTACAGGAAGTAAAAGGGAAAACAGGAGATAAAAGAACGTTAGAAAAAGAAGCTAAAAAGGAAAAGTTTAATCTCTGATTTTCATCCTCCTGCTCAGGCCTCCTCTGATGACAGCGGTGCCTCCTTCCTCAACCAGAGGTGGAGCCTCTTCTACAGCAGGACAGGAATTCAGTAGGACTCACTCTGCTCATCACAGGATCTTTGACCTTTCCAAATGATTTTTGACTTCACATGCACTTTTATGGGTCATTGTCAGCCATTCTCTTTGTCTGGGTGATCATGTTTATTTTGTACTGTATAATTTTGCAATCCATCTCCTCTATCCTCATCATCTTCACCTTCATCTCTCTTTGTCTGCACTTCCTCTTCCTCGACTTTCCTCTTCTCTTCATCCTCCTCTCAGGCTGGAGGAGTTGTGGTTCAGCGGAGAACAGCACTCACTCCTGGGTGCTCGTCTTTTCCCGGTGCTCCACCCCAGAGCAGGTGCCGTTGGTCTGGAGGAAGGTGTCGGCTGGCTACTTGGGGGAGGTGGCTGCCTGCAGAGATGGAGGGAGGCGTGGAGGCTCTCTCTGAAGGATGTACTGTCCCTTACCCACCAGGAGGTGGAGCTGCAGTGGAGGGAGGAGCTGCTGTTCCTGGCAGGGAGGAGGCGAGTGTCTGATGCCTTGAGGAGTCGGACCGACGTGTGCCTTCTACCATGCTTCCGGGCGGCGGTGCTGGGTGGACAGCAGGGGGCGCTACTGGAAACACTAGACAAGAGTGAGTCGAACCATGTGCAATCACTGTATCATCTATGGGAGTAAGTCCATGTACCCAAGTACTCTCCTGTACTATGGTACTATTTTGAGGTGCTTCTACCTGTGTATGTTGTTTTCATGCCACTGTAAGGCGGGCAGACGCTGAGGGGATTTGGCCTGGTTTTAGCCCTGACTGATTTTGGAACAGGAGTTTCAGTGAGACCCGTTGTCGTTTGACGTGCAGTGTGAGCAGGGTTCTGACGCCTGATTAATTTCAGAGAAGGCAGCTGCAGACAAGATGGCGGGCTGGGTGGCCTTGGCAGGAAGTAGTCGATAGTAAGCAGAAGTTGTTACCTCGGCAGGGTTAGGGTTAATGTTAACTGAACCAGATTTCTCAGGCAACAGTTAGGCTGTTAATCAATGCACCTGAGCAGTCAGCTGGCTCATTATTTACCTATTGCTACTTCATCATCCTCACCTGCTCCTGATGGTGGTTTTAAGGTAAAACTGAAAACTTGAGAACATTCCCAACATGCCTCTGCACTTTCTGGAGCAGCTGTTCTCTTATACGTGTTGGATACTAGTGTTTAGAGAAACATCAGAGTCTCTTCCTGCTCTGTGACATTCCTGAGCCCTGTGCTCGCTCACTTTGCTCTTCGCTGGGGGGCTGGGCTTCAGCTGCACACGTCAGATTCATTCTGCCGTATCACAGAGTCAGCATCAGAGTTTACTTAGCAGACGGTGACGCAGGTGGTCAGGCTGCTCCGTCCATCAACCTGGACACACTCTGAAGAGTCACCCACTACAATGTTGCTTTAAGTATGCACATTTAAGGATATGGAAAATGACACCAGGCATAATGAACTTTCTCATCTTGTTTCAGTTGCAGCAGGAAGCTGGGAGCAGGAGGCGGAGTCAGGAGCAGAGTTGGGTGTGGCTGCTCGCTGCCTCCCCTGTATCGCTGAAGTGTTGGTGTGTATGGCGGGGGGCAGAGGAGGTCTGAGGAGTGGACCTGCTGCTAACGAGGCCTGGAGCGCCGCCTACTTCCTGTTGGAGGAGGGCGATCTGAGGGGCGGAGTCCACGCCCTCGCTGCACAGAGAGGACGCTGGCTCAGCAGGTGAACTTCACTCTGTGGGTTAATTCAGTACTGTGTTGGCTGCTGCAGACTGACCTGTGTTTCCTGCGACTGCCCCCCTCAGACCAGACCTGCTGGTCCGGGCCGCACGACACTATGAGGGTGCCGGACAGGTGCTGCTGCGACAGGCTGTGATGTCATCGCAGAGGTTCATTTCCATTGGCCATGGTGAAGTTCCGCCCCTTGGGGAATGGCAGAAAGTGGAGTGTCCGGCCAGATTGGACTTGGCAGGTAAGTCCAGTGGGAAACAAATCAAAATGGGGCGTTCGTGTGCAGTTCGCCAGGTTGGAGAAAAGTCTTTGAGCCTCTAACTTGTTTTACCCTGATGTTAAATCTCAGTTAACAGCCTCGTCTCTGTGCTTCAGGCGGGTGGAGCGACACACCTCCCATCGCCTTTGAGCATGGCGGTAGTGTGACCAACATTGCAGTGAAGGTTGATGGGAGGCGTCCTATTGGTGCCAGAGCCCGTCGCATCACGGAGCCTCGCCTCCTGCTGGTTAGCTTCTCCGGAGAGTGGGAAAATGGGGTTTCCACAGAGATGGTGTGTGACAGCCTGGATGACCTGAAGGACTGCTGTCAGCCTCACGCACCTGGTAGGAAGCTGAAGTACTGATGGCACTAAGCTGTTTCCAGCTCCATGAATTCAGCCCATGAGCTCGTGTACAACATTCATACAAAGAGTATTTCATAGAAGATGAAAGAGTGAAACCCATGAAGACATTTTACAGTAGAACCTAAGCAGAATATGTGATGCTGTAAGATAAAATCAATTTACTGCTGGAAGATTCACTGCAGCTGTGAACAGTCAAATCTAAAGACAGTGATAGAGAGGGACACTGACTGAAGATCATATCTGAGCATTAAGGCTTGAGATGGGGACGTAGTTTATGTTTCCTGTAAAAGAAACTGGGCTCATTTGAAATTAATTCTGCCTTAAATGACAAAGCTCTCGATCTGCACTTATTTACCCCACAGCCAGGCTCACTCGCGGATCTTGGCCATGAAGAATGATGAACTGTGTGTGTGTTACAGGAGCCCTGCTGAAGGCAGTGTGTGTGTGCAGTGGTCTGGTGTCCCTCTCCTCTCGCCAGTCTCTGGGGCAACAGCTGATGCAGAGGTGGGGAGGAGGGGTGGAGCTCCACAGCTGGTCAGTGCTGCCCACTGGATCTGGACTGGGTGAGAAACCAACCATCATGAAGGAGAGCAGGAAAACATGATGACATTTTCTCCTACAAACACTAAACCTGTCATAAGCTGCATGTCCACTATGGAAACCTAATGAGCGGTACACCCGTACTTCGGCCCACATAACCCTCCGGTTAGACTTGGACCATCCTGCTTTGTTTTTCCACTGATTTTTCCCTGTTCCGCTTTCTATTTAGAGGATGTAAGGGCTGCGCTCCTCTCTCTCACACACACACACACACACACACACACACTCCCATCTGAGCAGAGGACGTGGAGGGTCACTCCACAGTGCACCAATCAGCCAGTAACAGAGGCTGTAGGAGCCGTTTATCAAACAGCTGTTGCAGAAATGTGACGTCTTCACCGCTTTGCCCGTGGTCCACGCGTGGTCCCGTGGTCCTTAATCGTTTTACCTTGAAACCCTGTAATGCTAATGACTGAGACAAGATGCTCTGCGTGCACCCACCACCTCCCCCTGGTGTTCCTGATGTCTACCTCCTGAGAGGTGCTGACATTTAACTGATGGAGTGTGGCACCAAAGCAGGCGGAGGGCAGTAGAAACAAACGCAGGGCCTGGTACAAGCGTTACTGGGCTCAGCGCGTTCCTATAATGGAAAAACACGGACATCTGCTACAAATGACCAAAAACTACACCAAACAGATGTTTTTGTAAATGTTTAACTGGTCTCAGTTTATGTAAAACATGAGAACATTCAATAATTTACTTTTTTATTAGTTAACCCATCCATTCATTCTCTGCTGCAGATATTAGCATATGTTATGGTTATAAACAGCTGCGGCCTCCTGACAGACGTGTCATACACCTGCCAGTAAATCCATGCACATGGTAAACAGGTCTCTACCTGCTGCTCCTCTCTGGTGTGGGTCACTAGATGGCTGTTGTATTAAATCACATTCTGTTTGCTATTAAAATGCCATTAAAAGTCTTAAATTGAACTTGGTCAACCTGCAAAAACTGATCTAAGTATCATCAGAGTTCAGGCTTCTCTCTGCTTTAGTCTGTTGGCCCCCGACTGTAAGTATGTGACGAATGAAGATGATTAAAGCTGCAGGTTTTGTGTCTTTGCCATGTACATGTCCTCTGAGCATTGTTAAAGTTGGTCTGGTGGTGTGGGGGCCAGACACACAAGTCTCATCACCTGTCCTCCTGCAGGAACCAGCAGTATCCTGGCGGGGGCGCTGTTGGCTGCAGTGTACAGGTGCACAGGTCGAACCTACAGCACAGACTCCCTCATCCACGCAGTCCTCTACCTGGAGCAGATCCTCACCACAGGTCTGAGACCCTGGCCTCTGTGTTGTGTGGTGTAGAACTGCTGCACCTTCTCTGTCTGATGGTCCGTCTCCATTCAGTTTGTTGGTTCTGGGCCCAGGACAAAGACTCTCAGCACGAGAGACAGCACAGGTTCTGCTACCTATCCTTGTCCCCACTAGCTGCAGTTACCTCTTCTCTGACAAGTAGCTACACGTCACCTGCCTTCACTCCCAGAGACACTGCAACTCTCCTGCAGTTTCAGTACTATTGCACAGTGTGCTCCTGCTGGGGCTACAAGCCCTGCCCCCTTATTCAGTCCTGTCAGAGAAAGTCTGTTGTTCTGAAATGATATCATACAAAGTTTCTCACGCATGTGGTGCTGGGCTTAGCCATTTTCCCGCAGCAGCTATATATCCTCCCTGTGCTTCAAAAAGAGCACGTGACCCACATACATTGTCTCCAAACTCAGGTGTTTGAGTCTTGAACACTGCCATCAGTGTCGTGTGGGTGTGTTTCCAATGCAAGCTCAGTTCAGTGCCAGAATACATGGGAAAGATTAGTGTCCACACTCCCACGTGCCAGACTTGTATTCTTGTATTTCCTCTGATGCGGAACCTAAAAATATTTTTAAAAATTCCCAGCAGTGTTGTGTGCAGTCCAGAGGTCCACTGAAACCTCATCTGAGAGCTCCAGTATACACGAGTATCACACTCTCTGCTCATCCTTAGATACTATATGCAGGACACTGTTGGCAGTGGAATATCTGCACTGATCAGTACAAAGACTCATGTCCACTGCTGAAACCTTCTAAGTACATTGATTCATGTACTGTACAGTTTTAGGTACTGGTACATGTCAGGTGGACAGTATACTGTATGTTTACTACACTTAGCTGACATCTACACTGGTTACTTTGCAGATTAAGACTTTAAATCACAGATAGCCCCCCATGCAGGTGCACTGGGTCCAAGCACCACCGTGTTTGTGTTTTATCTGTCACTTTGTTCCTCCACTACTCTCTCATTTGCATGTTTAGGACAAACAGAGACAATGTGACTCGCAGTTTCCACTTGGATGATTTCTGAAGAGGTGCAGAGATGAATTTAGTTTAGTGCGTCCCAGTCTGACCTACCAGTAAGAGCTCATCTCCCAGCATGTCATCAACGTGGTCCAAATGAAAGATTTGGTTTTCTGCTTTACTCGGTGGAGCTGGTACCAACTAGAGACTGTATAGAAAGAGATATACACAGTCTATGCCACCAACTCTTGATCTGCTTTGTATACATTTTTGGCAAGTTCATCTCTTCTTCTCCTGCTGTTTTTTCTGCATCTTCTTCTTCTGCCCCTGCTGTCCAGGTGGAGGCTGGCAGGATCAGGTAGGAGGTCTGGTGGGTGGAGTAAAGGTGGGTCGTTCCCGACCGTCTCTGCCCCTGCAGGTAGAAGTGGAACGTCTCAGCCCACCAAAGGACTTTATGGTTTCTCTGGAGCAGCACCTGCTGCTGGTCTACACCGGCAAAACTCGGCTGGCTCGAAACCTGCTGCAGGTCAGGACCTGTCTCTCTAGTCTCGTTGCTAAGGTACACAGGTTTACAAGGAGCATTTTATTTCAGTATTACTCAGATTAAACGGGTCATGTAAACCTGTCAGTCTGAAGGAAAGTAACTTTTTCTGAAGGTTCACCTTTTTTAAAATAGGTGGTTTGAACCTTTAATGATCTTTTCTAAGTAGGAAAATAAATAAATGTGGTCTTTGTAATTCCGTTATATTTTCAGAACATCTTTACTAAAGCTCAGTACTAAACCAAAAGATAAGCTCCGTCTAAATGACAATGTCAGAGCAGCACGTGAAACCTCTCTCCTGCTCGTCACTAACTGCACCGAGATGTGTGTGTGTGTGTGTGTGTGTGTGTGTGTGTGTGTGTGTGTATGCAGAAAATGAAGGTAGATTTAAAGGTGACTTTGTGACCAGCAGCCAAATATCTGTAAGATCCAGTGTGACTAAGGAAACTCTGGTGAAACTTTAAATGGTTTTAGCTGGGATTGACAAGTGGTGAGCAAGTCGATGGTAAAGATCTGACAGTGAACGTAAACGAGGTAAAAGGCTCAGCTTAGAGTAGAAAACAGTGAAGGATGTTACCCACTGCAGAAAGCGTGACTGATTAGTGTGGAAGCCGGACCCAGTGTCTGACCAGTCTGACTAATGCTGCTGCTGCTGGTTTGGTCTGCAGGATGTGGTTCGTAGCTGGTACAGCCGTGTGCCGGCAATGGTCCAGAACGCCCAGCAGCTGGTGGCCAACTCGGAGGACTGTGCCAGAGCCTGTTCAGACGGTGAGGCCACTCAGCACAGCAGGGCCCATACAGCGAGATTCATACTGCAGAATCAGCTTCGTATACCAGAGACTCAGAAATACACTGGGTCAACATCCATGTACAGCGCCAGTGGTCACATTACACTGTAGCTTCTGTTTCTCTTTGATAACAACACAGAGCAGTTGCTGCTCAACACCAGCTGTTTCTCAGATTAACACAGAAGCATAAGTGAACACTTCTTCACAGCTAGTCTGCCGACACCATCTTTTGTCCAAAAATCACCAGCTGCATCCTGTAAAGGAAAACCTCAGCTGTCTGTGAAATGTAGTTCTTCTGCTTGGCCTGTCACTTCATCTTTTCCTGCATGTCCTAGGCCTTTCCCCAGACCTCAGACAGTAAGGAAATCCCTGTGTGTCCCCAGGCTGCCTGTCCACACTGGGTCAATGTCTGGACCGCTCGTGGCAGCAGAAGAAGCTGATGGCCCCTGGATGCGAGCCGGCCTCTGTGAGGGCCATGATGGAGGCCCTGAGGCCCCTGGTCGTGGGTCAGAGTCTGGCTGGGGCTGGAGGCGGGGGGTTCCTCTACCTGCTGACCCGTGAGCCTCGACAGCAGCAGGCGGTGCTGCAGGTCCTCAGCAACACGCCGGTAAGCGCCGTGATTACTGATGAATCAGCATTTCTACTTCTACTAGCTCACCACTGTCACACTGCAGCCTGCTGATTCGCTAGTGTTTCCACTGGACCACCGTGTTATGATTTATTTATCTGCTTTATGTGAACACATTCTTTTTGCACTTAACACTGGTTTTATGTACGGGCTCAGTGCTACTAGATGTGTGCACTGTAATGTCTCTTGTCCATGTCGAGCTGGATAGGACAGCTTATTATCATTATTATGACTGATACCACTAAAGCCATTCCCTAGTGGTTTTTCCAACTCAAACTCTTTGGTTACATCGGTGAATGGATCTCAGGTTTATACTGTGAAGCTGTAAACACAAGATCCTGCTGACATAGACATGGACACCAGGCATGATCCGTATCTGCTAGTTGTGGAAATATTTAGCTGACTGTTGGGTGACGGGTTTGTGTAGCTGTTTCTGGGAAGCTGCGACTGGTTGGTCAGTGCAGTGAATGATGGTTTGTTTCAGGGTCTGGGAGACTTCAGCGTTCACTCAGTGGAGCTGGACATGGACGGGATTACAGTGCTCCCACCATCCTGAGGAGACACACACACTGTCTGTGTTTTATAACCCAGGTGATGTTAAAGAAGTCAGGACGCTGCTCAGGTTCTGGTGTGTGCACATTCATAGCATGTAACAGACATTTATCCTTCAAACCGTTCAGTGTGGTTCAAACGCATGCAGGCCTGGATGAGACACATCGAGGCCCCACCCCTCTGCACTGGAGCGGGTCCCCCACACTGACAAACTGTGTCACCTATGCATCTCTGGTAGTTTAGCACCTATATCTTGTCATTTGGCATCTCTCAATGCAGTCACGTTGTGTCTTTCAGGTTGGTTGTTTCTTTTCACTTATTTTACTTCATTTTTAGTCACTTTACATCTTTGTGGTTGTTTTGGTTAAATTTTTTTTGTCTATTTCACATCTGTTTGTACTTGTTTAGCATCTCCTTTAGTTTTGTGCCTCTTTGTAATCATTCTGCATCTCTTTGTGGTTGTTTTGTATTTCTGCTCATTTTGTGCTGACAGTCACCTCAACAGATGCTCTGTGACCCATGGGCCCGTTCAGTAATCCATCCATGCCTTTAGGAATAGAAAACAACGCAGCATGTTTCTGAGAATCGGCAGCAGTGATTTAAAAGATCCATGAAGCCCAACATGTAGAAACATTAGAATGATCCAGCCAAACGGCTCCAGTCGGTCTGTAAGAGGTGACGCTGTGAACCCAGCGTGACAGGGGTCTGTGGTAGTGACGAGCTCGCTGTGACTTCTGTAGGAAGAGATAAACATATGTTTGGGTTCCTAATGTTTCTGTGTTCAGCTTTAGTAATGAACGTGAATGAAGGAGCCATGTCGCACGCTGCTCCGTCACTCAGACACCTTGCACTCTGTGTTTCTGCTGGGATAAAGGTTTGATTATGAAATGAACTGCAACAACTGTAACCAGCCTCTCAGAAAGTGTGGACACTGTTGGCTTTAAGAAGATGCCGGTCGTCTCAGTACAGAAGAAATGCTGTGTGTGTTACCAAGTTAATTTTCATAGTATGTGGAAAAGGAATCCTTTGTAACAAACCTGGAGTTTTAAGTTTTCTTGGGATTCAATGTACAAAATGTCAGAATGACAATTGTCCATCGCAAGTTGCCAGATATGAAGTTTTTCTTGATGTAATGAGCTGCAGCCAAAAGATGAAAGCACAGTATAATACAACACAAATAAGTGCAGAGTAATACTTTTTAATAAATCTGTTATCTAAAGTTTGTCTCATGTTCCTGTCAGTCTGCAACCATGGTACAAGCTGGCTGTTTTCAGCCAAACAAGAGTCGCACTCTGAGGAAAAGGACAAATAACATTTAGCAGTAGGAAACAGCTCAAGATGTTTAATGCTGGTACGCGGTATCAGGCAGCTTCAAACCAAGCCCCTCAGTGTCAGCCTGTGAGAAAATCTGATCTCGGACATGAGTCTTTATTTCCCAGCGACCACAGACAGCTGGTCTCTGATGCGTCCCAATCCGTCCAGTATGGTGTCCAGAGACTCCCTGCTCAGTTCCACTGTCACCGTGGAAACCGACTCACCGTCCGCTGACGGACTGGCATCCTCCATCTGAAACCAGCAGGTCACACAGGGAGCAAGGTGAGTGGGGTTCAAACATTAGAAGGAGCAGAAACACGGGGCTGGGGCGTCTGGCTTGTTAGAATTTATGAAGTTAATTAACTGGTGGATTTGTACTGGACGGTGTGGGTCTAACATTCTGCCCCCTTCATGTGCAGGGGGTGGGCACCAATTCTAAAAGTTCCCAGTATAACACTGCAAACTACCACCTCTCTGTCAGTGTTAGTCTGGACTGTAAGCACAGAACAAATGGCAGAGCTGTTACATGTTCCTGGTGTGCCTAATGGAGTGGACACTGGCTGTATCGCAGAGTGTGGTTCAGGTTTGTACCCACCTCGAGTTGAACCAGGCAGGTGGGGATGGACATACGACTGACGGAGTCCGAACCGGTCACCATGTCCACTCTCCAGTTCAGCTCCTTAAGTAGGGGGAGGGAGGCTGTGCACACACACACACACACAGAGTTCAGAGACATACACAGCAGCCATACATGAAGATGTCAAGGGTAAAATACAGTTTTATGCATAAATTTGGGTAAATTTCATGTTTAGTATTTCCCTGTTTTTGAAGTGAAAGGTAAATCCAGCTCCTGCAGCAAACACAGGAGAGCTTCAGTTTTGTCCTCAGCTCAGCGGACATGCAGTTTGATCTGAAACCTTTCTTGGTCTTCCACATCCTGACTCCCACTGTTTCTAATGACACACTGAACAGTAGAAATTTCAGCTTCACATTCAGATCCTCCGCCAGCTGCTTGGAGGAGCCCATGGTTGACGAGTTGGAGTTTATCACCAGCTGAAACTTCCTAACCATGGCTCTTCATCTGCCTTACAATGTCCTAATGAGTAAATTAAGTCCTAAGGAGTTAATGAAGCTCTGAGTGTTTCTAGGGTAGAAGGGTGTCCAAACTTCTGAAAACTCTAAAATGAAATGTACTCACTCTGATTACTGGGAGCTTCTGTCCTCCATGTTGAACTGAAAAACACCAGAAGGAGAGTTATGTTAGCTGGGTTACATTTAATCATTTATGTACCAGTGCATAACTTAGGTTCCCCCCACATCAACCAAACAAAGTGATAGGAGTCCATGACAAGTCCAGAAATGCAGGAGGTAGAACAGGACATGTGACACTGACTCTTGTTAAAGCCAGTCAGGTCAAACTGCATAATTGTTTGTGTGGTATTAACTTCAGTATAGTCTTTGTTTATATTTGTGACTTGGATAAAGATGGATCACATTTTATGACCAATTCATGTAGAAAACCAGGTGATTCCTAATGGTTCTCTGACCTTTTCTTGCAACTGTATGTTTTTAAATTAACTCATTTTTATATTTGCCAAATTAGTTTAGTCAAGTAGTTGAGCTACTTTATCACAAACCTGCAGATACAGCAGGTGACAGCTGAGAAGACAGACCACCACCCAGCAGGGGTGAGTCTCCAGAGCAGCATCAGGTCTCCTTTGTCGGAGGAAGACACATCCTCCTTACAAACCAAATTCCCTCACTGTGTCCAACCCGCTGTGTCAGACCAGCTGTGTCGTCCTCATGAAGCCATTCAGCGACCTACAGCTGCAGCCATGAGTCAGTTCACTGGTAGAAAATGAACCTCAGCTATTTAGAAGCAACAGTCACCGACATGTTCTGGTTCCACCTTCTTTAATGTGAGGAGCTGATGCTTTTCTTTGTCAGACATGAGAATCAGCTGAGTCTCTGTGGATCTGCTGGTTGGACACAGCAAGACATGTGGAGACGCCACCTTTGGCTCTGGAGAGTCACAGTGGGACTTCTTACCAGTGTCTGACATTCTGGGGATAAACTGATCAATCAGATCATCAGGATGATGATCGGCTGTTTGATCAGTGACCCCACTGGTTGGGTTTCCAATCAGTCAGGAGGCTTCTCTGTCACTGTGTTTCCTTCTGTACTACTGACATCTTTAAAAATGACTCGTGTGAAAGGTAGCAATGTGATTCAGTCAGCAGAGAAATCTGTGGTGCTGACCTGTTTTCCAGTAGGATCTTGGTGATCAGGTTCTTCAGACTAGAGTGGAAAGATTCAGGGAAAAGAGCGAGGATCTGCTCCGGGGAGCTGAGGTTGTAGAAGAGGACGTGATGAGACAGAAGGTGGAGAGACTGGACCAGCTGGAGAAAAGACACACAGCACAGGTTCAAACGGGAAGCTTCTCTCGTCTGTGTGCTGGGTGGTCTAACATCTCTGCACACACCTTTCTACTTCTGTGTCTGACATACGCATCCACCAATCCGACCCTAAAACAGATCTGCACCCTCCAAGGGGTGAGAACTGGTCAGCCTGTTCTCACAACGATGGTCACGTTTGTCCACACACTCACACAGACCCGGGTGGGTGTTACCTGTGCAGCCTGGGCAGCAGGGATGTCGAATGCTGCTGCTGTGGTCTCTGCCAGTCGGCGACTCGGATCTCTGTGACTCCGAACACAAACGTCTCTCACGGCATCTTTGGATGGAGCCTGAGGAGACAGGAGCTGAGAGTCAACAACAACAAGTGGTCAGCTTGAATTTAAGCAACCAGCCGAGTCAACCACACCTTCCACCATAAACCATTAGTGGATGAAGTGATTAGTCGATCGACAGAAACCCCAAATGTTTATGTAATCAACTCATACATCTTCTGAAATATTCAGCTTCATTACTCAGAAAACAAAAACATGTTTTATTTCACATGCTAGGGCTTAAAACAGGAGATACTGTTGGTTAGTACCTTTAGAAGAAGCTGTAAGTTGCTGAAATCTTCGCTGGACACAGAAGCTGCCATGTTGACACGTGACGTCATCTGTGAATCATGTGATAGAAGGGTGCTAGTACTGCTCATGGGAAATGAAGTTAGTGATGGCCCTATCACACCCGAGGCTCCGACACATGCCTGGTAGCTCATAAAGCAATTGTTTCGAACCACTGCACCGAGGCGTGTTTCGCTCACGTGACTAGTGACGTTTGAATCACTTGAGGGACGTCCAAAGTACTGGATCACTTTGGATCCAGTGTATTCAGAGATAGGATATCCCTATTTAGTGGCGTTCATTTGAATCTGTCTTTGCAGAGTAGGTTGGTTAGTTGCTTTGAGAGTTAGTAGTGTTGTAGCAGATTGTGTATTTAGTGGAAAATCACTGTAGATGGAGAGATAGATCAATAGATAGCTAGATAGTAAGTTACATAGAGAAATAGATCATAGTTACATAGCTAGATAACAGTAGATAGATATAGTTACATAGATAGTCCTAAATGACGTTAGATATTGATAAGATATAGATATATTACATATATAGATAACATATATATAGATATATTGCATATATAGTTACCCAAACCTCTATGAATTATCCAAGCATTTCCTGTGTACCTCAGCCTCATCTGTGCCATTTGAACGGGTATGGACTTTGGCAAAGTTTGTTTTGGGGTTCATTGGTAAAGAGGTTCATGGGTATGTGGGTAAAGAGGGTGTGCTTGAAGAACAGGGCAGTGGGTGTGCTTGTGTAACTGTTTATGAGTGTTTATTGAGAAATAACAGTATATCCACAGTTTTCAGACACAAGCGGTTTCTCCTTTTACAGACTATTTCCCCAGCCTAGAAAAAAACCCGTTCACATGGCACAAATGAGGCTGGGGTACACAGGAAATGCTTGGATAATTCATAGAAGTTTGGGTAACTATATATGCAATATATCTATATCTATATATATATCTTATCTATATAGGTAATATACCTGTATCTTATCTATATCTAATGTCATTTAGGACTATCTATGTAACTATAGCTATCTACTGTTATCTAGCTATGTAACTATTATCTGTTTCTCTATGTAACTTACTATCTAGCTATCTATTGATCTCTCTATCTACAGTGATTCTCCACTAAATACACAATCTTCTACAACACTACTAACTCTCAAAGCAGATTCAAATGAACGCCACTAAATAGGGATATCCTACCTCTGAATACACTGGATCCAAAGTGATTCACATGACAAACCGAACCAATCAACTGATTCACCTGACGTCCGACGAACCCAACTACTTCAGACGTCCCTCAAGTGATTCAAACGTCACTAGTCATGTGAGCAAAACACGCCTTGGTAAAGTGGTTCGAAACAATCGCTTTATGAGCTACCACGCATGTGTCGGAGCCTCGGGTGTCATAGGGCCATCACTATATGTACCGGAAACAAATTCCTTGTGTGTAACATGCTTGGCCAGTAAAGGCGATTATTATGTCACATTTATAACACATGAAGGCAGCAGGTAATTTAAAAAGCTAATCTGAAATAAATTGATGAAATAAAATAAGTACGTCTGTAATAATAAGCCGAAATGTAACCGCAGAGGCATGACTGGTAGCAAATAGCAATAAAACAGTTTTTAACAATAATAAATCATAACACCCCCTAAGAGCCTATGCTGACAAAATAGTTATATCACACTTTAGTTTTTGTTTGTTTGTTTGTCTTCTTGAACGGTTAATGTTGACGTTTTGTGTTCCTTTTGTGCTCATTTTGTGTCTCTTTGTGGTTGTTTCATTTGTCTTTTTTGTTGTTTGGCCTCTGTAGTTGTTTTGAGACTCTGTGGTTTTGCTTCTCTTTGTGTATGGTTATTTGATTTTCTAACAAGAAGCTTGCAGGTACTACAAACTGAAGCCCTGGGCCATCCGTCCACAATAACAAGTGATATTTTTTCCAAGTGTAAATCCTGATTTAGCTCAATGGTAAAGTGGGATAGTGTCCAGTACAGTACATTGTTGTTGTAGTTTGACCATCCGACCGACAGGCGGCGCGCGAGCAGCAGGAAGTTTCTGTGCTACATTTCCGCCTGTGGATTGAAACCTCCACCGGAAGACTGTTCGTCCTCTTCTACCAGGCCGATCCAACATGGTGGGTGGTTTTAAACGTCTACTTGAACGATCTAACATGATCCTCGCGTTTTAATCACTTATGTTGCCCGATAATCTCATCCATGGAGACCGGACTGTTTATTATAACAGTTGTTTGCAGTATTAATATTTAGATGGTACAGTTGAGCGTTTTATTTTCTGTATTGTCATGTAGTGCTGAAGGTAACGGCGAAAGCGGAGCGAAGTGGTTTTCAAGCTGATGGAAGTCGGTGTTTATTCATGTTTTATCGGTTTAATTAACCAGAAAATGTAGAATAACATTACTCCTTTGTGTGTTTTGTTTTAGCTAGTTAAGGCGGTTAAATTGGTATCAAATGTCAGTCATCCTTAGTTAGCTTTGCAATGCTAAACCGGGGTTAGCTTGTCTCTGTTGAGCGTATCTTATGCTTCCCCCGGAGGCTGTGCAGAGGGTCAGTTATCGGCAATTGCTTCTGTTGAAAACTAGTCATAATTAACGTTGGTGTGTTCCTGTTGAAACTGTAAAGAGATCGCTTGTAGAATTTAATATTTTATAGGCGAAATGGCTTGGTGCAGGTAGGCAGCCGCCGTTCTGGTTCATCTCAGTAAATGACACTTGAGATGAAAATATCTGCTGGATTTAGGATGTGGAGCTCCACATTTAAACGTCTGGAGCTAATATTTTAACATCTGTGCATAAGAACGTAATGATAATTTAGGTTTGACCAGTGCTACTTCGTTTAGAAAGAATCTAAACTCGTGAAAATTCAGGTGGGTTAGTTTCATAGCTTGGTTATAATTTTAGTGGCGAGAGAGTTAGAGCTGTGGATTTGTTTCTGTTTTACTGTGCATTAACTGAAGATACATGCAATGATCCATTCATAAGCACATAGTTGTTTCTGTCTTAATAGTCTGACAGTTACAATCTCGCGGCTCCATTTGTAATGTGCACATCTGCAGGGACGAGTCAGGACCAAGACGGTGAAGAAGGCCGCTAGGGTCATCATCGAGAAATACTACACCCGGCTGGGCAATGACTTCCACACCAATAAGAGGGTGTGCGAGGAGATTGCCATCATCCCCAGCAAGAAGCTCCGCAACAAGATTGCCGGGTGAGTGCAGGCATTTGCCTTCAGCATCTTCCTCCCTGTATCGAAAGTGATCATGGCATCCTGTAGCCAGGTCATTGATAGTACAGGAAGATTATCAGCAAGCCTTTCCCGTGTTTGAAGGAGCATCAGTTTCTATCAGACCCTGGCGCTTGCAGACATTTCAGTAACATCTGGTGTAAATATGATTAAACCATCAATACCTCT